AATGAAATAGAATTGAAGACAAAGAAATAAATTCATATACCTATGGACACCTTTTTTTTTTAAATAAAGCCAGAAAAACACTGGAAAAAAGACAGTATCCCCAAGAAACGACGCTGCTCAAACTGAATTGCTGCATTGTAGAGGAATGAAGATAGATCCACACTTATCACCATGTACAAACCCAGCTGCACATGGATCAAAGACCCCAACATAAAACCAGCTACTGAACCTGCTAGAAGAGAAAGTGGGGGACAGCCTTGAATGTATTGGCTCAGGAGACGACATCCTGAGCAGAACATTGATAGCACAGGCACCAAGACCAGCAACGAAGAGACGGGCCTCATGAAGCTGAGACACTCCCGTAAGGCAAAGGACACCGTCATTCAGACAAAGCAGCAGCCTGCAAAGTGGGCAAAGATTTTTAACAAGGACACGTCTAATAGAGGGTTAATAACCAAAATATATGAAAAACTTAAAAAAAAACTTGGACATCAAGAAAACAAATAACCCAATTAAAAATGGGGTACAGATTGAAACAGAATTCTCAAAAGAGGAGATGCAAATGTTTGAGATCCACTTAAAGAAATGTTCAACAGCCTTAGCCATCAGGGAAACGGAAATTCAAAACCACTTTGAGATTTCATCTTACACCAATCAGAATGGCCAAGATCAGTAACAAAAGACAGTTCATATTGGTGAGGATGTGGGAGGCAGAACACATATCCACTGCTGGTGGGAGTGCACATTCGTACTGTCGCTATGGAAATCAGTGTGGTGGTTCCTTGGAAGGATAGGAATTGATCTACCTCAAGACCCAGCTATACCACTCTTGGGTATTTATAGACCCCAAAGAAGCTCCACCCTATGTCAGGGACACTTGCCCAGCCGCGTTCATTGCTTCTTGATTCCTAATAGGCGGAAACTGAAAACAGTCTAGATGGCCACTAATGAATGAATGGATAAAGAAAATACGGCACATTTATACACTGAAATATTACTCAGCCATTATAAAATGAAATTCATATTTATATAATGGAAATGGATGCAGCCAGGAAAAAAAAAAAACATGAGTGATGTAACTCAGACCCAGAAAGACAAATGTGGTATGTATTTACTTATATATGGACATTAGCTGTTAGTTGATAAACGAGATAGAATCTGTGTAACCTTAGAGGTTAGGTAGAAAGTAAGGGACTAGGCAGGAGGATGGATCATCCTAGGAAAGGAATTAGAATAATTATGAAGGGGGGGGCTGGACTGGAATGGGGATCAAACAGGGAGAGGGAAGGGAGAGGGAAGGAAGAGGGAGGAAAGAGGGGGCAAAGGACAGAATATGCAGAAGGAGAGCAAAAACTAAGGCCATTTAAAGGGTCATTTGGCAACCTACAGTAGAGGCTTCCTATAATATGTACTTCTTCCTACCCTACAGGTCCCTTGAGTATAGACTGTGGCTTGTGGTTTGGGTTTTATGGGATCCCGAGTGTGCAAGCCTGTGAATTTCTTGTGTTTTTCCTTTGGTTCTTTAATCACATTCTGATTTGTCTGCGTTTTATATCTTGTTTTATTATTATTTCTTAGAAGCCTGTTTTGCTAAGGAGAACCAGAAAGGGCGCGGATCCAGATGGGAAGGGGAGGTAGGGAGGAACTGGGAGGAGTAGGGGGAAGGGGAAATGGTAGTCAGAATATGTATGTTTTTAAAAATCCATTTTCAATGAAAGAAAAAAGGAAATCTAGATGTTCCATCGTGACAATCTCCACTTCCAGAAAACTGGAAAGAACCTTTGTCCTCACTCATCCTCTGCTGATTGCAATTTCCTGTGTGTGAGACAAAGTGTTTTCCTAAGAGAACTCGAGACTTCTCGAACTCTCCCCCCAAAAACAGGCAAAAGAAAAAAATTAAAATTAGACATAAACTGTCCGGTGCTGAGAGTCCTGAGACTTCGGGGGGTGCTCTATAGCCGTGATTTCTAGAGTCTCCTCCAGGAAGAACAGCACCCCTCTCTTGTCTAGAGTCAAACTTTACCATATATCTCAGGTATGGAAGCTGGGTTAATGTCCGGAAATGTGAGTAAGCTTAAAATGTTATATGCAGTTCTCAAGCGCAAGGTGGCTGAGGAGGTTAAACTGGGCTTAATTCCCACACACGCTGAGGGAAGCATCTCCTGCACCAGGGCGTCCTCTGACCTCCACAGAGCATCACGGCGGCTAAAAAGGCAACGATTCTTAAAGTTTTCTACATAATTCTAGTTTCAAAATATCGTTCCTTCAAAAATTTGTATAGTAAATTAGTCGCTACAAAATTTGGGTCAATATTTTTGGAGCCCATTTTCCTCTCTGTCCCTTGTTTCAAACATGTTCAAACAAGTGCAGGTTTCTTAGTCTGCACACTCCCGTTTGCTGTATGTTCTCTGTGTCACCCATGTCAAAAAGTTCATGATATGGAAGCATGTAGCTGAAATGCCTCCTGGGAAATTCTCACAAAAGAACACACACAGCACCAATTCTAGTTTTTTGAAACATCCTCACTGTGTCATGACCTTTGTCTTTGTAACTAAATTGTAAGTTTCTTCTCTGCTTCTCATTCCTTTGTCCACTGCTTCCAGCTTAAACAGCACGGAATACAAAGAACACAGTCAGGCTGCATTTCAGAGATCTCAGCAACCATGCTTTTACATCTTTATGGGGTTTACTGAATGTAGCCAATACCGTCTAACAACTTAACAAGTCTTTATAAAAGTAATCTAGTAAATTTAATGGACTTTTTTTTAAGTGCTGGAGAATATACCCAAGACCAGCAAACTCGCTACCTCTAGCTGAGGCCCTAACTCCTGAGCTGTAAATGCTGAGATATTATGTTAACAGATAGTGCTCCAAGGAGCTTACAGCTAGCAAGTGGGGGGGGGGAGGCAGCAAATCAGATAATAAGTTAGTAATTATTTGGCAGGAGAGATGAAAGTTCTGTGGAATGAGCAGGATCAGAACTGTGGAGGGTGGTGACCGGGAGCATTTTCTATTAAAGAGTGGGCCGATGAGATTGGCTGGGCACCATCTAAGCCAGGGCAGGAGGGAGGGAGCTGGAGGGAGCTGGAGGAAAAGTCTTCTCAGAGGACAGCCACAAAGGCCTCTCCTGCCCCCAGACAAACACGGAGCGGAGCGCTTTGAAAGTGACTTAATGGAGAGGAAAGAGAAGGGTTTCAGGGCATTTAGCTTTATTTCATCTTAAAGCCATGATTGGCTTACTGAAAAGTTTTCCATGTTTAGAACAACGGAAGTATTTGAGTCTATTTTTGGACTTGACATTTCATGAAATCTAAATATAGATCAATTATTTGAGATGAAAATTTAGTATGCAAATGCTAAGGGTTGTTAGTATAAAACACCTAAAGGATTAAACACAGCAAGAAAGTAAAGTATGCCCTTCAGATACAAAGTGTTAAATAAGATAAAATCGGTGATATTAATTTCACTTGCGTTTCTTCAAGTGTGGCTACAAGAAAGTTTTTTCCTTTGGTTTGTTGAGATAGTGTCTCTGTAATCTAGGCTGGTGGGAAATTTGCTATGTAAACCAGGTTGACCTCCTGGGGCATCCTCCAGCTAAAGCCAAGTACTGGGATTACAGGTGTGAGCAACCACACCTAACTCAGAAAGTTTCATTATCCATGTAGCTAATGGTATTTACTTTTTTTTTCTCGTGTAGCCTAGGCTGACTTCCAATTTGTTATGTAGCTAAGGATTGTAGTGATATTTCATTTGTATTTTAATAGAAAAAGCTTGCCTGAAGTTCAGAGAGTAAAACAGTCGCACTGGTCAGCCTTACAGACCAGACAGTGGTGACACACACCTTTAATCCCCATAGTCATGCTAGTTTTCCATAGAAACTGAGCAGTAGAGGTGCACACCTTTAATCCCAGCCCTAGAGAGGAATGTAAGACGGGAGGAGACAGCGCTCACACATGGTCTCATTCTGAGATTCCCCATTTCAGCCTGAGGGAGAGGTAAGAGCCAGTGGCTGTTTGGCTTTTCTGACCTTCAGGTTGAACCCTAGTGGTGTGGGAAGTCCTTCTGTATATGTGTGGCTTTTATTGGTTAATGAATAAAGAAGCTGCTTTAGGCCAGTGGCTTAGCAGAGCAGAGCTGGGTGGGGAAAACTAAACTGAATGCTGGGAAAAAGAAGGCAGAGTTAAGAGAAGCCATGGAGCCGTCAGAGGAGAAAGATGTGAGCTGCTAGCCAGAACCTTGCCGGTAGGCCAAGAGTCTCGTGGTAAAATATAAAATAATAGAAATGGGTTAATTTAATATGTAAGAGCTTGCTAGGCATATGCTAGAGTCACTGGCCAAGCAGTGTTTCAAATAATATAGTTTCTGTGTGACTATTTCGGGAGTCTGGGCAGCCAGGAAACGAACAAGTGGCCTCCTACTACATCCCGGTTTCTGTCTCTGGGTTTTTATTAATCATGCTACAAAGGATGAGTCTGAATTTCTAATTATCCTGCTTCTGCCTCTCCAGTGATTACAGGCATGTGTCATGGAGTCTGGTTTATGCTGTCCTGGGGATCAAACCCACGGAAGGATTCATGCATATGAGGCTAGCCCCCCCCATACCTTTGAAGCTTCATTTCTGTTTGTCCTGATTTGTTTATTTGTTTGTTTAAGACAGTCTTGCTATGCATCCCAGGTAGGTCCCAAGTTGGAATCCTAATTCAGCCTCCTGAGTACAGGAGTGCAGCCATGTGTCACCATACCCAGCTCCCCGTATCTCTTTCAGACAAGGCTGGGCTAGAGCAAGCAGTCAGCCTAAGGCCCAGGAAAACAAGCAGGTTCCATGGTGAGTGCAGCCCAGGCCAGGGAGTGAAGGGCTGGTGAGGTGGGGACTGGAAATGGCACTGCCATGGGAAATCCCGACCTGCCTGCTAAACATGTCTCCTAGGTAACCCTCAGGGTCTGTAAGCTCTTGTTCATTCAGGGCATGTGGTGAGAGAAGTGGCTTGAAGTGAAGTTACCATATGTGTAACACGGAAAAGTGGAAAGCCGCTTCCTCGGTTTGCAGGGAAATTCTGAACCGGTCTTTCAGCGGGTCTCACAGGAAGATGTGGGTGCACGGTTAGTCCGTCTCTGCACAGATGAAGATGTCTGTGTCTCGTGGAAAGAGGTGACATAATCAGGCCTCTAGAAACCAACACAAGGAAGGAAGAACTGGAGTAAGGGCAAGCAGGCGGCCTACAGTCCTGTGCTACCACGCCCGCGGGGAGCAGCAGGCCAGGCCGACCCAGGCGGCTTTCTGGCTCTTCACACCATCCATTCTGTTGTCCTCTTCTTATTTTTTTTAATGTATTTTTTATTTTATGTGCATTGGTGTTTTGCCTGCATGTATTTCTGGGTGAGGGTGTCAGATCTTGGAGTTACAGACAGTTGTGAGCTGCCATGTGGGTGCTGGGAATTGAACCCGGGGTCCTCTGGAAGAGCAATCAGTGCTTTTAACCACTGAGCCATCTCTCTAGCCCTGTTGTCCTCTTCAATTCAATCTTTTTGTTGTTGTTGCTTCTTTGTTTTCAAGACAGGGTTCTCTATGTAGCCCTAACTGCCCTGGAACTTGCTCAGAGATCCACCCACCTCTCTGCCTGAGCGCTAGGATTGGCGGTGCATACCACCTCACCTGGCTCCAATGCAATCATTTTTATCTGCAGTTTTTTCCCCCATACAATGTAAAATAGGCCGAGAAACAAGATATTGCAATTTGTTTTCAGCTGTAACATGTCCAAAATAGAGGGCCTGCAGATTGAGGACCAAAACAAGGGGAGATGGGACCTAGGAGAGCTGAAGGGAAGGAAGGAGTCTTCGCTACCAGCCAGGACATTTGCTCTTGAATGACTGTGAAGTAAGTGACCCATCACATAGCACGAGGGAAGGTTGGAGCTCTTCCCTGTGGCACGGTGGGTGTAGTAATCGAGAGTTGTTATTACTTCTATTCCCAAGGCTGGAAACCCCCATGAAGTAACTGTTGTGGGAACATTCGCCAAACTTAAAAGAAAGCTAAAGATAACTAACTTCTTTTTTAGAAGCGCAAATGTATTCCCTTCTGAAACAGGAAACGCTGGCTTTTAGAAGAGAGGAAGCAGAACTAGGAGGGACAATCCCTGTGTGTGAGGTGGCGGAAGGTAACCGAAGTGGGTCTTGGGACCCCTAGCAGCGCTCTTTTTTAAACTAACTCTTCAGCAATCTGTCTGCTCTTTTCAAAGACCAAATTTAAATGCTATTCCATTAGCTCTATCAGAAGTTAATAAAAAGGCTGCCATGGAACTACCCCAGAAACATTTTAGATCAGACTGTCCCAGATGATCGGAACCCACTCTGCAGCTTACTTTATGTACGGGCATTCTGCTCATCGCTTTTTAAACAGCACTTACTGATATACTCGGCACAAAAGGGGGTGGGGTGCGCCCCATCCTTCAACACCTTAGTCTGTACAGAGAGGACACCACACATGTGATGGTTTGAATGGCAGCGTGCCCCCCAGTCTCAGGCATGTGAGCACTTGGTCCTGAATTGATGGTGCTAAGCTTTAGAGGGCATGACCTTGTTCTTTGAAAGTCTTTAAAGACTGTGCCATCCGACTTTGTTTTCTGCTTGTTGGTGCCTGTGGCTCAAGACATGAGCCCTTAGCTTCCAGTTCCTGTCACCGCGTCTTATTTTGCCCCTAAGGACTCTAACCTTTTGGAACCACAAGCCTAAATAAACGCTTCTGCAGGTTGCCTTGATCATGGTGTTTCATCACTGCAACAGGAAAGAACTAGTCATCATAGCAAAAATAAGATTGTGGGTCGGGGGGTTGGGGTCCCAAAGGAGGGCAACTTCCTGCAGTGGGGCAGAGATGCTATGGTGATCATTTCGCTTGGAAGCTGAAGAAGTAGGGAGGGAAAGAAAAAAGAGAGAGAATCCCAGGCACTGATGATGGAAGAACAGCACATATTCCAAAAAGTGCAAACCACTCCATACAGCCGCACGACATGATACTTCACGGAACACAATGTGTTCCCGCCTTGGTAAGAGCAAAGCCCAAAGCAGCCCAGCCGAGGCATGAGAGGTGGGGAAAGAGTCTCCACCCGCAGCAGGTAAGGAATTTATGGGACACAATGTCTTCCTGTAGTAAAAGAAGCTAACAGGATATCCCCACGATACCATTCGAGGAACCCAAGCTAAAGCAAATCCTCCCTGAACCCTGGCTCACTGCTGTTCTACATCAGCTTGACACATGTCAGTCATTTAGGAAGACGGGATCTCAAGTGAGAGAAGTTCTCTGTGGTATTGACCTATGGGCAAGCCTGTGGGGTATTTTCTTTATTGGTGATTGATCAGGTAGGGGCTCACTGTAGGTGGTACTACCCCTGGCAAGGCGGTGGTCCTAGATAGTATAAACAAACAAATTGAGCAAACCAGTAAGCAGCACTCCTCCGTGGCTTCTGCTTCAGCTCCTGCCTCCAGGACCTGCCTTTGGTTCCTGTGTTCCTGCACTGACTGCCTGCCCTCCAGGCTCCTGAGTTTCCTGCCCACCTTCCAGGTTCCTATACTGCCTTAGGGCCCTCAGGTTCCTGCGCTGACTCCCTGCCCTCTGTGAGGAGAGTTGTAAGCTGCAATAAAACTTATCTCCTCCCCAAGTTTCTTTTGGTTGTTCGTGGTCTTTATTACTGCAGTAGACACCCTAACTAAGAATTTCCTATCTTGGGAGCCCATGCACACAGGCATGCAAATTCCTGAGCACATTCGCTTAGAGAATCCATTCTTTCCCAAGTATGCTCAGTTGACGGTCATACATTTCCAAAAGACAGGCACATGTTAGCATGCTTGGCTTGTGGTCATGAAACATGTTAAAAATGTCAAAACAGCAGGCAGGAGCGAATCCGGGCCTTCCAGCTTGCACGTCAGCTGGAAATAAGGGACACTTTGGAGGGGCAGCGACACTGGTGTTTGCTCCTGCCTCACTCACCAGCTAACACTGTAGTCTAAGCTGCAGACAGGGAGGGCAGAGAAGATCATGATTGGCTAACCAAGAGCCTTAAAGGTTGGAACTTCAGTGAAGCAGCAATGGACATCAAGTAGAGGAGGAAGCGGTCCCATCTCCAAGTTCATGCCACATAGGACAAAGGTGACCTGGAGGAAACATTTGACTGGAAGCGAAGGAGAAGCAATGGGGAGTGTGTGGGCAAATTCAAGCATGGAGCGGTGAGGGCTTGACTAAATCAGTGGCGAAGGAGCCTGAAGGTTAATGACAACGACTATGTAGAGCAGGGGCATGCAGAGAGGAAAAGACACGGATTGCAGGAGTTTACTTAGGTACCCAGATGCATAGGAGCAACGTCAGTCAAGGTAGGATACTTGTGACAAGGCTGCCTCTCTGCCTCCTGACTGCCAGGAATACAGGCTTGTGCCAGGATCCCATTTTATCCTCAGTCTTTGCCAAACTTCCAGTTCGTATGTTATACTCTAGTGTCTTTTGCCGAGTCCTGAAGATGCTTAGGAAGCCGTGCTGAATCCCTAAGTCATAATCTTGCCTAACAGACACCTTCAGCAAGCTCCAGATTCGCTAGTGATTAAGAGCTGCACCCAGAGAGAATGCTGCTGTCCTTGCTACCTGTTTACACCATTGTGGGGTCTCAGAATAGCATCCTATCCTCAGGGTGTGTGTGTGTATTCATGTGTGTAAAGGTCAAAAGTTGACATGGGGGTCTTCCTCTATCAGTCTTTCGAGACAAGTTCAGCTAAAGGTCACACCCTGTACTTCACCCCCAGTCCCCCTCACCAGTACCGGTCAGGGGCGGGCACTGCCAGGCCCAGCCTTTCGCTTGGGTGCTGGGGATCTGAACTTGGGTCTGTGTGCTAACCTCCCCAGTCCTTAACACTATTGTGTATTCATAACAAAGACCAACTGAAAACATTTGGGACAGAGACCCGGGACACAGGTCATCATATCTGGCCTTTACACACACGAACTCACTCTTTCTCTTTCTCTCTCTCTCTCTCTCTCTCTCTCTCTCTCTCTCTCTCTCTCTCTCTCTCNTCCCTCCCTCCCTCCCTCCCTCCCTCCCTCCCTCCCTTCCTCTTCCTCCCTCCCTCCCTCGTCAGACTAGGGGAGAGTTCAGCCCCATATCTATAAAGGGAGTGAAAAGTAAAGGAAAAAGGGGAGATTTTATAAGACAGGAATTACAGAAATCAAGTTTCTGGTTTGACTCTACTGGCTGGGAAGGTGGCTCAGTCAGGTAAGGGTCTGCCATGCAAACCTAAGGACCTGAGTTCGGATCCTCAGCACCCATGTGAAAGTTGAGCATGGTGGTGTAACTGCACGGCTGGAGGGGTGGGGACAGGCAGTTCACTCAAGGTTGCTGGTCAGCCAGCAACTGGTAAGTTCCAAGTTCATTAAGAGATACGGTCGCAAAAACTACAGTAGACATGACTGAGGAAGACACCAATGCCAGTCTCTGGCTATGCTTGTCCTTCTCTCCTGCCCCCCCCCCTTCACTTTATTTTATACAAATGAGGGGAGCAGGCAGATGTGTCAGACAAGCTTCCTGCATTTCAAGGACCACAGAAAGTGAACTGCCACAATTCTAGCGTTTATACAAAACCTTACTCTAAGTTCATAAGGGCCGACTTGTGTGTATCTCTTTCCTGGCTGCCCTGTGTCGAGTGTGTGCCAGTGTGACGTAATGTCATCTGGTTGATGACATTCTCGGTAGCCTGCATTTCTTTGTCAAGCATGTGCAAACCTGCACAGTTTGCTTCTGTTTTCCCTTAGCTAAACTTAACTTTTTAGTTCTCTAATTATCCGAGTCAGTGCATTAGCTTAGTTGTCCATACAACCTGGGACTCTCTGGACACACTAGAGTGCTGAGTAGCAGGAAAAGGATGATATATCCTTTCCTTTTGAGAGATCTATACAGGGAGAAGTGAACTGAGAACAGATATACAGAAAGCCACTTAACAGGCAGTGGTGGTGCACGCCTTTAATCCCAGTATGTGGGAAGCAGAGGCAGGCAGATTTCTGAGTCTGAGGCCAGCCTGGTCTACAGAGTGAGTTCCGAAACAGCCAGGGCCGTACAGAGAAACCCTGTCTTGAAGAAACAAACAAGCAAAATAAATAAGTAAATGCAACAACAAAAATGCCACTTTACAGG